ACTATAAACTCAGTCCACAATTCTCTTAAGCTAACACATTTCCTTTAAACCTAAGTTACCTTATTTCAAACTTGTGTTTTCTAAGCATGTCCTTGCATTCAGGAAAGCAAAGGAAGAGGGCACAGTGTATGCCCTTTTGTCCCCTGATACTTTCGGGGAGTGGAGGATGGCTGAAATGTCCTAAAATTAGCAAGTAAATATTCAGAAATACCACCACCATCATCATCCTCCAAGCCTAGTGAACAGAAAAGACAGGCCGTTACTGTGACTTTCACTGTTCAGTTTCAGGTGTCCACAGTTTCCTGGAGCAAGCACAAATTGAGTCTTCGCCATTATTATACAGTAATTTTGAAATACAGAGGTAAACAGTGTTCTCCTTATTTGTCATATTAGGACAGACTTAGCAAAAGCTTGATAGGTTTTATGGAGATCAAAGTCATGGACGGCATGATTTTGGGATCAAAAATGTGCAGATTAGAAGATCATGTAAATTAATACTATTGGGATGTGGTACTCTGAGAAACTTTTTTAAGACCGTATTTTTCTACATCATAAATTTTAGGACACTGCTTTTTGCAGTAGTAAATGTAAACATGGTGGGAAGACTGACTAAGCATCAGCTTGAGGTCTGCAAAATCTACTGCCTTCTGAAGACAATCTTTACATGTACGTATACACTTCAAAATTCCAAGTCTCCTATTCTTCTTCCACCCTTCAGTCTATTACCTAGTTGTTTATCAGTGAATCATTATTTCAGAAGCACAGCTACCTTATGAAGGTTCACCTGGCTTTGCTGGTCTTCACAAGTTTAACCCACATACTTTGCTTGATGCAAGGACTTCATTTCTTGTTACTCATCCTCACTCAACCTTTCCCTCTCTCAATCTTTCCACTAGCTCAGTAGGAAGGGAACTTGAAGTGATCTTAAATTCACATTCACTGGGGACTATACACAGATCACTAACCATTCCATGATCCACTTTCCTAAAATCTTCTGGGAAGCACAGGTTTTGTTATCATAGAGCAGTTGCCGGAGCAATCCCAAGTAAGAAAATATAGCTTATGTGAACAGTAGGAGGAGAAAAATAAAAATAAAACCCCCCACCCATAAAACCTCTCACAAAACCAACCAAGAAAGATTCTTCTGTCCTAGGATAAATTTGTCACAAATTACACTTACATTTAAAATATAGTTCCTCAGTCCATTTACAGATGCATTTATTGGAATACTGTGGGGTATGTTCTGTTCAAAACAGTACTGTAACTTGAATGTCAATTCCAGAAGCTAGGAAGCTAACAGACAGTATGGCAAAGTATGCTAGTGGGTAGCATCCTGAAGTTACAGTACTAAGCTTTCAACTAAAATACTAGAATATCTTAGTAGAAAAAATACCATTTGAATGTTATTTAAAGGGAAAAAAAAAAAAAAGCCTATGCTGCTTGCTTTATTACTGACCATCAATCTTTTCTAATGTGACATCACTGTATCCAAAAATAACTGTTCTCAGCAAATATACTGGTTTCTACTGGAGAAGAAAATTGTCATAAGACCACTGCTGGCAACCTTATTTTAAAAGACATCTGAAATAGCAAAACTGAGAAATCCATTTTTAAGCAGCAGATAGGCCTCCAGAGGATAGGGTTAGGATTCTTTGAGTTTCAAGGAAAGGAAAATCACCACAGCCTTTATAAAGCTCACAGAGAATTCACAGCCCAGAAAGTGAGAAAGAAAATGGGCTCAAAGCGGGTCGCACAGGGGCTTTCAGCAGCCCCACCGACAGCCAGCGGGTGACGGACGTGCTTGAGGGCTGCCATCACACTTGCCTCGCCTCTCTGTGGGTGGGTGCCTCGCTGCTTCCGTCTTGATCCTCGTACCCAGGGCTCACAAGAGAGCCATTAGAAAGCTGGCATCAGCTGTCTATTGCAGGTAATTCTTCTAAAGCTTTCTAACTCTCCATCAGAACCGAAACGGAAATCTCACAAGATTATCAAATAGTTTCCTCTGAAATCACAGTGCTTTTGTCTTACCTCAATACAAGTGCCCCTCACTGTGCTTTATTTACACGGAGAGATCACGTCACAGACGTGAAACTAAACCTAACGGATATAAAATATGCCTACTTTTAATACTACAATTATAGTCACTGTTTTCTATTTAAAATCTTTAAAACAGAGTAAGGTCCTTCTGTGGACTCTAAATTTTGGCTAAAAAGGAAGACAACAATGAGAACAACTTATTTTGCAGCACTGATTACATTTTACATTAATTCATCTCATGAAAATTACTATTCCTTACCTCCGAAGATACATTTAACTTACCTTTAAAATATTTTCTCTAAACTGCATTTAAAATATTGCACATAGATAATGCAAAATGTTCCGCTTATGTAGCACATTTCTGTTTTCTTACCACTCATGTACCTAAGTACAAATAGTCTTAGCTGAATGCACTGATATATTTTGAAAGTGAGGTTATTGACAACAAAAAGTCTCAACCTGATTAAATCTTCTAATTTGTGCAGTAATTATTCCCTCTCAAGTTACAACCGCACGACTTACTACCTCACAAGTATTAAGTGCACTATCAAAGCACTTTATATGTATACATATATACATAACTTTGTGCCAATCTATCAATATATTCTAAATTTGATCACATTGCAGTTGTAAAAATATGCAAAGATTCCATATATAAGGTGTCCATTTTGTACATCTCAGCAATGTAAATGAGACTTGCAGTCATTAAACATTTATGATTGTACTTGCTTCCAAAAAATTGTAAATAACATGGGAAACATGTTGATGCTGTGCGATGGTTTTATTCTATACATAAATGTCATCTTGAGCAAATAAGAAGTCAAAGTAGTATAAATTACTGAAAAAAACTACTATTGTAAATAATTACAGAGCATATTAACAAACAAAACTGTATGAAACATTTTGAGTACTTTGGTCACATATTGGTAAAATTTATTTTAAAACCAGAAACAAAACTGATACATGTGTCCACACACACAACACTCATAACACACATTCCACATGTAAGTATCAACATCTTACATTTCAGTTTCTCAAATTTTGTTACTACAGCAGTATTGAGCTTTATTTTTAATAAAGACTTCTATTAATTTATTTTAGATAAGTTTTAAAATAAAAGGACAATACATTTGTAGAAGTGGAAGCTGTAAAAAATTAAGCTTGTGAAAGTAGAGCCATTAGGCCAAAAAGCTTAAGTGGTAACACTGCTAAAGATAGTAAGATTGAGATTGCACACAAACTTTTATGCAATGACCCCCCTTAATAGTGTGTTTGTTTGAAGTGAAAATGACTAAATCCCAAATATAATCAAACTGAACCATGTTACACTATTAGAATACAATAAAAGTATTCTTGCGCTGACAGTCACATACAAATTTTTTCATCCTTACACAAAACTAGCAAACTTGGAATATTTCTCTCCACCCATTCCTGACTCAATACTCTGAAGACTGATTTTTTTTCACCCCGACTCAAACATACTTTAAAAAAAAAAAAAAACCAAAAAAACCCCAATCTTAATTAATAATTCCATTTTGATTAATATGGTAGATGTTTCTTTGTGCAACTCATTGCCATAAGGGGTACATGGCAAAGATTTCGACTGTCGAAGTGCTGAATATATACATTGCATTCTTTTAACATCTACTGAAATAATTTGGTAATACCATGTTATGGAAGACAGAGTGTAACAGAAAACCAAGTACTGCTTCTTGAAAAAACCTTTGAATGGCAGTTTCTTCCTTGCTGTAACTAGGGGGCGTAACAATGTACCTTTACGCAATATACCAATGGTTGTCTCCAATCTAAGAGGACAACCATTTAAATAGGAACAAACAACAAAGGTTACAATTGGGCATATGTATCACTTGTATGTGTTTTTTGTAATGTAAAATTAACACATTACATGAAAGTATTATATAAGTCCTTTAAAATCTGGGGTTTCTTTAGTTTTCAAGATGGTATTTTAGTGTTATGGAGATTAAAAACTGCTGGAGCTTATCTGCATACTGATTGATTCAGTTTTTCATCAAAATTGATGACTGAATTAGTGCAAAACTTCCACTATGTGCAAAATTTTCCGGTGTGTTGTAGTAGACAATACAATAGTCAGCTCTAGTTTTTCAGCTGAGTTTATTACCTATGCTGAACTCAGTTACCAAAACAAAGAAAAACACACATAAGAAAACTTTCAGACATTTCAAATAGCATTAATTTTGTATAAAATTTATTTATCTTAAACTTCCCTTTCTACCCTTCCCCCCTCGCTTTAGATTGCCAGAAATATGAAATATGCATCTGGTAATGTAATCCCAAATAAGAAGTATTGCTACTGTAAGAGAAATGTAAAAGTCAAACATACTCTATTTGTATGCATTTGACTATCAGCTTTCCGCTGCTTTCTATGTTTCATTTTATCGGTAGTAGGTATGTGTATCCACTCAAACTTTCAAATAATTTTATAAAAAGTTAGAAAAATATACTCAATATTTGTTGCATAACCTTCCTATATTCACCCTATCATACATGAATCTTACAAAATGCTTTAGAATCATCTATTAGCTGCAAAAATACCAACCACTGCACAGCACCTGCAAGAAAGGTCTTGGTGAGAACGTACAATCCCGTATTATGTGATCTTGAAGGTATTTTCTTCAGGTCTACAGCTATGCATTTTCACAAGGAAATCCAATAAATATTCAATACCATGTTTGTATGAGCATCCATGGACACATAAACCTTTCTTGATTTCATGCTAAATCCTGAAGAAGAGCTGGTGATGCGAGACGTAAATGACAAAGTCTGATCAACTAAGTACCATAGATGAACTCCATGTTTAATTGTCAGCAAGTTATCTTGCCACAAACTGATGGAGTGTCATTTAGAAAATTTTCCTTCAAGGCCAAAAAATGTTTCTGATAGCATTTAAAAAAAATAATCAAAGAATTATATTTGTGATCCAGTTAAGCAATGACATCATGGGTATCGCTGTTGGGTCTTTGGCATATAGTCAGCGGGGGCAGAGGCCTTCCATAGAAATCTGTGTAAGAAATGCCAGAGAAGAACAACACATTAATCTGTCATTTACCAGCTTCCTTGCATAAAGGGTGTTTAAATAAGGAAAATTCTTGCATAAAGAGTGTTTAAATAAGGGAAATTCTTGCATCCTTAATGAAAATTAGGTAGCCTACAAGTTTAGAGCTAATTCCTACAAGCAACTTTCAGACATAGTGGTAATTAATGTCTGGAGGTGTATTGGCCAAACCAGGTTTTAATCACATTTTGTTATACGTCCATCAGCAATTGCAAAATCAAGTGCAAAGGTGATCTGTAAACATCCCTAAACATAGGAAATGAGACAGCCAAAGTGTACAAATAACAACTGAAAAAATGAAGTACCGAAATTTGAATGTTGCCATAGTCAAGTCTGCATTGCAATTGAGTTTTAAGTGACGCTAAGCAGCATCCAAAATTTTGGGACCATTTATGCATGGCACCTATCTTGAAAGCCATACTAACTTTCTAAAAGAACTATATTAATACTTTTTAGATAAAAGGTGCAACATTTCCTTTTGTCAATAAAGGAGTTTAAAGTAGTAAAATTGCTTAAGACAAAGTTATTAAGTACACCAGAGGAGAATAACAAGTATTGTCAAACATCTGTAATTGATATAAAAGAAAAAAAAACAAACATGCAGACTGGTACATGCAAAGAATTTCACAAGCAAAATAATATCATGAAAGATGGTAAGAGGAAACAGGTAGAAATCAAGAAAAAAATAAAAGCAGCTTTTTGAAGCATTCAAATCTCGATTTTGTTTATACAGACAACCTCCTCCCCAACAAAGCCTTGATGGCCTGCCAACACAAAATTCAGCTTTAATAAATCATAATTTTCCAACAAAAATATATTCCACTTCTTCTACATATGCAATAACTTGTGTTAAAGTTGCATTCCTGAGCTAAAATTAACAAAAGCAAGCAAGTTGGATTACATTCCTGTAACAGTATGTGTACATGTCTGTAGGATCAAGGTTTTAATTATCCTTTTATTTAATCAGTAAAATAGTAACAATTTTATTGTTGTAAATCTTTTGATTTTAAGAGAGCTAATTGAGTGTTACAGCAGCATGTGAAAATCAACAGAACTGCAACAAATGTTTCTAGGGTAAATGAAAACCTGTACAATGGATGTTTTTATTAGTTGCTTAAGGTCTGGCAGAAGACTTTAGGACTAGCAGGCAATTTTACCTCCTATAATAAGAGAGGTTTATCATCCTTGAAAATGTGTCCTCCAATGACAATAAATAGACATTACCTAGTATTGTGCTAGAATCCTTAGCATAACCGGAAAAATTGCAGTCTTTAGTGAAAATAAGTGTATAATTAAAGATCTATATAATTGACACTACTGCCTGTTAACTCTGCCTAAACAGGCAACGTAATGTTCTCTGCTAAGAATGCCACACAAATGACTCAATATATATATACTAAATAGCCTGCTCACCAATACTTAAATTTTTCGTTTTGCACATTGAATCAAGACATATTTATGTCTCTGAGAACACCTAGCGTGAAAAACTGCCAGACCTTTGGAGGTTGTTTCCACCTAACACTACACTAGTTTTAGATATCTCATCAGCAAGGTCTACCACATATCTATGACACTTCCGAAAAAAAGCATTTTTAAGACAAAAACAAAGGAATAACTGCTATCCTAACTGACAATGACCTGTACTAGAATGCACGGGAATACTGAGAAACACCTGTTTTTGTGTTTCTCCATGGACTAGCAGAAATCAACGCTACAAAAAGTCAGATTCATTTTGAAGCTTAGGGGGATTGACTTACATTGAGGTGCTATCAAATGTTTCATTGATACACTCTTGGACACATACTTTGAGAGTACTCCTGAAAATAACCTCTATGTATAACCAAGGCTCCTCAAACTTTTAAAAGCAGACTGGTAAATACTTTTCTCTTTCCTTGCTTGTATGGACACTAACAATTTTACCTGGAATCCTGACAAAAGCATCTACTGGGCATCCTACTGAAACTGAGGGTTTTCAGCCTGGTCTACACAAAAGGTAAGAGCTCATTTGCCCCATATACAAAGTCTTTTCAGCCACTTGGCCAATAGCAGTTTGTCAAAGCAAACTGTTCAACAGAATTCAGTATTGCTATAGAAAACAGTGCACTTCAGAGAATCCAAAAAACCCACACTAAAGTCCCAGCTAAAGGAAATAAATAAAAAGAAAAAAAAAAATACTTCAAGCCTTCACTCGTGCCTTCAAGCCATTTAGATCAATTAATCATGAAACTAATTAGGAAACCAGGCCTTTTTAGTTCATGAATGTTGAATGCCTGAAAAACTTTTAAAACCACCTTTACAGTGAATTTTGGACAAAGACAGGGGAAAAACAAAAGAAAAAAAAACCAAAAACCCAACCCCTTGTTTATTTCTCCGCTGAAGGAACAGCCAAAAAGAACTTGGTTTTCAGAAAGGTGCAATTCAGGGACTATTCTGAAAAATGGATCAAAGGTAGGCTCCACTGGTCTTAGGGAAACTCGAAGGAGTTTCCAAGCAGTAGCAGGTTATCTGTCTGCAAAATATATAAAAACTCATTGAAAAACACTGTTGCACGACAGAAAATGGGCAAGGACACTTGGCAAGCTAAAATCAGTGCAAGATGGACTTGGCAGTGTTAGGTTAATGGTTGAACTCAGTGATCTTAAGGGTCCCTTCCAACCTAAATGACTCTGCAATTCTATGGCTCTCAAATGACCTGAGTGAAAACACAGCTGCTTTTAAGCAAAATAAGTAATTGATGCTCTTTGATATCAACTAAAGGTTTGACAATGCTGGACCATATGTTTGAAAAGCTTTTTTCATTTATAAATAGAATAGATGTTTCCTTGCTTTCTCAGGATTTTCTTTATCTGTATGTATCTTGTGAGTGTCTCAATTCCTATAAAAAACCAAATCTCAGCAAAGAGCAGGCAATGTCTTCAATTCAGCTGCAAAGTTCTGAGCACTCCCAAGTTTCCTCTGATCTCAATGGTTACATCTCAATTCAGGAGATTGTTCCCCTACCCATCTTTTCCATCATTAGATTCCAAAATAATTTAATTATTATCCTTATACAAATAGACTAAATTAACACAAATCTCAGGTTACTAACCTACATACCTGTGAGTAGGGAACCTAGCTTAAGCGTTTGGGTTTTTTTTCCTCTTTGTCCCACCCATGCTCTTGCTACAAAATGCAACACATCCCTTAGGCACAGATAAAAATTGAGCACCACCACTTCCCTTTCTTCCCCTCCCTACCTCTTCATCTGGCTTTTCTTTCTTGCCGCTTTCTCTCTATATGCCTTAAAAAAAGAAGAGCAAGATGTTTTTATGATTAAGATTACAAACTACATTTTATGCACATGAATTACGCTCCTGTGAAGAATAAATATCTAGGTTTTAGAGAGCTTAATTCCCCTTCAGGCATCTTTTGATTCTTTGGCAGAGAAGCTCCATGGTCTGTTGCTCTGGAACTTCAGCAGGTCCATCAACATGGTACTGGACTACAGGATAGTCGTACAATCAATTCAAGTCAGGGTTAAGCTCAAGGATCAGTACAGCCACACTGAGATCCTTTCTCTGTAAGTTCCTCAGTTAACAATGTCTTTGTTCAATTTGTATAAAGTGTTCTCATTGTTTTAGTTTTTTTAGCCTCCTCTCATATTATTCCAGATGCCTCCATATTCACTTGGCTTTTCAAAATTTGAAAAATAAAAGAAAAATTAATATATTATCTATAACTGAAAAAAAGGATGTAATATGAGCATATGAAAAACAATCTTCCATGGTCTTCCAAAAATAGAAAATAGTCATTATTGAAGGGAGAACTCAAGAACCTGCCTACCACACCTTGACATTTCCAGTTATTGAACTTATTTCTCCTATCGGTTTGTGAACTTTCAGGGACGCTGGCTCTTCAGGTAAAGCAGCGGATCCCAAGCTTTATCACTGACACCTCTCCTTGCAGCCCAATAACCTAGTTTTCAGTTGGAAGTCTCAGTGGTTCTGCAATCAAATTTATGTTGGGCTTTTCATCATAGCTGGGATTGCAGTCCCTCATTTGGAGCTGCTAACATAACGCACTTAATTCAGAGGTGCCCACATGTCTTTAGCTTTCCTTCTCACAAGAAAACACCCCCAAATCAATGACAAAAATCTTACAGGCTATGCTTTTAAAACCATATGGAAACAGTAGAAATTTTAGACCATCTCAAGAGGAAACAAAACACAGCAGATTCACCGGGACATGGGCTATGGTTCACAGAACTACAAAAATAAATGGGGCCCCTTTGGGTTCAGTACTGTGAAGTGATTAGCACTTCAGACCAGATCATGAGATCAGTGTGGGAACAAACAGGCAGCTTAGTGCAGAACCAGCCTGGATGTGGAATTGCTGCTAAGGATGCCAAATTAATAAGCCCTGTTGGATCTCTGCAGTCCTGCTTGGGTCTTTCTGCAGCATCCTCTCTGCTGAGTACCTCAGACTTCTTCCAGTAACCCAACTCCTGTCCCCACTGTATGATGAACCGTCTGCATATGGACCATGGAAATATACTTTGAAACTTCCCTTTTGAATGCAATATGTGTTCAGACTCTTAAAGTAACTGGTCCTGTTACTCTCTGTTATATGGCACGTTATAATCTTTAGGTGTGTGCTGCTGCGCAAATAACTTCAGATCATTAATAGCTTCTGACACCCCATGCCACTTTATAAGGGAAGCTGAGAGAACTTAGTCTTTTTGGTGAAAAAAAAAAAAGAAATAAGACTTGAAAAATCAAAAAGATGCTTTCTACTAAGCAAAAGGGTTAGCTTTTGGTCAACAAAAATTGGCATTAAGAAATTAAAAAAGATGAAGAATTAAAGTAATGTAGAAGTGAATGAGCAATGGAGAATGCTTTTAAAAAGTACAACCCCCAAAATATTTTCAATTACCAGCATGATGTGTTTCACCAAGAGGCTCAAGTTTTCGAAGTCTATTAAGTTTGGGAGTTCCCCATCCGACTAAAGGAAAACAAAGACAGTCAAAACATGCCATGACTGCACTTGATTCTGATGAAATGTACAGAAGCCAGTTCTCTTTGGGAGAAATCAAAGCATTCAGAAATGCCAAGAGTATATAATTTATTGTATATATGATGAATAATGATGAAATTCTTTAAAAATAAACTGATTTACCCTTAAAAATATTGATATTTTTAACCACTTTTTCATCAGAGAATTCAGGTTTCTGACTCAAAATAATAACATCTTCCCCCAAGGAACATATACTGCTGAAAGGTCATGCCATGAAGTGGGAAACTGCATCAAAGACTTCCTAGAGAGTAAGGTTTAGTAGCAAGCATATGTCTGTGTGAAGACCATTACAGTTTCATCATTTAATGATGAAATATTTTAAAGGATTCAGTGAATATTTAAAGGATTAATAACTACAAATTGAGATGCTGATTGTTGTTTGTTAGTACACTTACCTGGTGGAAGAGCTGGTGGTGGTGTAGCAGTTTTGGGAACAGCGACCTCTGCATTAACAGGTTCTACTCTGTGGCCCCTTCTTAATTTCGGCTTTTTATTTTTTTTCTTACTGTTATCTATACCAAACAGAATTAATTCATTACATATCATATAGCTATATTCAGAGAATTATCTTAGATCATCTTCTAATACAGTTGTTGGGGTGAGATACATCAGCATTTTCAGTCCAAACTTATACATAAAATTATGCAAAATGTAAAATTTACACAACATTTTGCTATAGAAAATAAACCATAAGCATAAAATATATGCAAACTTTATGCTTTAATAAAGAAATTCAATTTAGCGTGATAGAAAGTGGACTACATATTTGATAATGATAAAAATGAACCTATTTTTGGCTATAGTATCAGTCACACCAACAAACACGCACTTTTTGGAAGCAAATTTTCCAATACAGTAACGTAATGGTGCATTCTTATCTTTTCATTAGATTAAATTGATGTGCGGCATCATGAAAAATAATACAGATGTGAAAAATAACATTGAATGACCCACTAAAAGGAAGCAGTTTTACCTGAGTCAAGGCATTCTGAGGCTTGCTGCTCATTCTCTTCTGCATGCTGCAAAAGCTGTGTAGTTGTAGAATTGCATGTTTCTAGTCTACTATCATTTGTGTTTTGGCTACTGCTACTTGATAAGCGCTGGGCATCCATTTGTTCCTGCTCTGTTTGCGATTTCAAGACAATTGTAGCCTTTTCAGTCTCCAACCTTTGCCTCTTCTTCTCCTTCTCCATTTGCTTTTCATTCTAACAAAAAGAATTTTTTTTAACAACTTCTAATGCTGTAAACTGACTAATAAGACAGGAAGGTTATTTTAAAAATAAAAATATTCCTAAATTATTTTTCATTCCCACATCTAGCATAGAAAATATTTTCAAATTGGTGAAGAACTTAAATTTCCAATATCCTGCTCAGAGGAAGGAAAAATAAATAAACAATAATTAAAAAAAAATATTAACAGCAAAAGAAATGATCTTTAGGGTTATAGCCTGTTTTCTTCCTTTCTTTTTGGTCATATGACAAAAAAATGCTAGCTATATAAACAACATCAGCAGTCCTGACCAAAAGGTTAGAAAACTCCTAATTTCTTCCTCTTCAATATATACATTTTCTTTTTTAATGTTTGTCCTGCTTTGGGCGAAACCAGAACTAATTCTGTTTTAGTGCTTTAACTGTTCAGTTAAGTCTCCTCTAACTAACGGCACATTCTGAAACAGCAGCACGTATTTCCAGACAGTGACTGCTTCTCGCAGTGATAAAGCCTGAGGTTTATAGTTCATACCAAGGAATGGGATGCAGAGAGGCCCTTGCTTGTACTTGTTCTTATAGTGACCAAGGTCACTGCTAAATCTTGTACTGCGTGTTGGGGTGCCGGGAGTGAAAAGGGTCGCACCTGCAGGGAGGAGCAAACTGGACAGGTGACCCAAACCTGACCAACAGAGTATTCCATCCCATAGACGTCATATTCAGTATAAAGATGAGAGATCACGAGGGTCTCTCTTCTTCAACGGCTGACATCTGAGGAGGACTCAAGTCTGTACTTCTGTCGTCGATCCTGATCCGTGCATCCCTGAATCCAGTGCCTGAGTCCAGCTCCTGCATCCTGTCCCTGTCTGCTGCCGAGTCCAGCCTGGGACTGCCCCAGTGCCAGCCCTGCAGTGTCGGTGGTGACGTATTGTCATCAGGGTGGGGGGAGTTGGGTTCGGTATTGGTTTTGTAACTATTTGTATATATTGTATATATTTAGTTATTTCCTAATTCTTATTATTATCTTTTCTTTTATTGTTATTGTTCCATTAAAGCTGTTTCAGTTTTCTTTTTCAAACTGTAAAGTCTCTCTCCCTTGTTTTCTCTCCTTTTCCCTTTTCAGAGGGGAGAGGGGTTAATAGAGAGCGTCTGTCATTTGTTAGTAGCTGGCCCAGCCTCAAACCATGACAATGTTTTACTTAAAACAAAATACACAGGCACAGAGCTTAAGTATCCAGAAAGTGCTACCATGATTTGGCCAAATACCACCTGTCTCATACAGACTCAATGACAGGCTGTTTCACAGGTTCTATATCACTAAATCACTGTCTCTGCAATACTTGCAGCTATACTCTTCTCTTCTTACTCTGCATGTTATTATAAAGTGTATGTAGCTGACTTTACAAGATATATGGATATAGGTGCTTTTGTCCTGGAGAGAAGCAAATGTTTGAATTACTTACTGGAAAAGACTCTGAGAACTTACATGGTCCTTGAGATTATGCTATCTCAAGTCAAATGAATAAAAAAAATATGTACAATAAATAAGAACTACCTGAACTCAGAAACACAGATTAAGGAAACTTTGTATATTAATATGCTTTTCATATTTCAAAGCTAAGAAAACTTTTCAATTGTCTCAGTTTTCAGCAGAAAACAGGTTATGCTCAGAAATATAGTTGAAGTAGTGAGGGAGATTTTATACGACTCACTACATTACTAAAACACTTTATCAGAAACTAACAGACCTTGAATATTTTCTATTACTGCATATCCAATAGTTTAATTATGAAGTGTGATCAGCCATCGGTTTACAATACCTTTATTTCACTGTGTCTACAAATTTTGTCCCCAAATCAATGATAGGGGATTTTTTTAACATGAAAGCATTGATTCAATGAACACAAAACAAGACTGCCAAGACATAAAAAAAATAATTAAAGCTGTGCATATAGACTTAGAACAATTCTTTTAAATGAACCATTTTTCTCATTACCTCTCAGACATTTGTTAGTGGTAGGTCTAAAACGATCCAGATTTCCACATATTCTCATACCTCAGAGATTACAGTAGATATAGGCTGGAAAGGGTTTTCAGAGTTCCCAGGTTCAGGGTCTTCCTCATCAGGTACACTTCTTCCTTCTTGTCTTTCCCTTTGTTGTTGGGTTTATGTTGTTGTTGTTTTAGTGGTTCGGGGTTTGGTTTTTATTTTTGGTAGGAGGAAGGGGGAAGAGAGGGAGACGAACAAAGAGTTATGAAGAAGCCAAGCCAACAATTTTACATAACAGAGAACACTTACTGGGTCATCTAATTCATCCTCCAATTTATCCCAGCTGATTTTTACCTCTCTCTCTGGTTTTCTATTTGGAACAAGACAATTGCTACTAACATTGTGGAGGAAGTGCACTCTGAGTAAACATTCAGGGAAGCAAATCTGGACAAAAAGTAGTATGGAGAATTATTAAAACACAGAATGAAACCGAATTGTACTTGAAACAAGATTAACCTGTTTCTTACAGTAAGAAATCGATTTGATGCAAAATGAGAGTTAATGCCGTCTCTCATACCTGAGACAAGCCCTCAGCTACAGCTAAAGCCAGCATAAGTTACTAGTTAGCCTTCCTCTAAGACACAAGAAGTTTAGCAAAACTTTTAAGCCTTTAATCCAATCCAGACCCAACCAATTCTTTAAGTGAACAAATACAATCAAGATGCCAACCTAATGATTCTATGATTCTAAGGATCACTGCACGGGAACAGAATATATGAAAAAGGCCCATATCATCAGACAGTCTCTCTGGGACACGTTTCAAAGTCAGTCCTCCTCGCTACACGTCTCAACATGGCATAAACCCAACACAATGGTCAGAGGGTTTTGTCCGTGCAGAGGCATCTGGCAGACTAACAGCATATGAATGTTTTAATAAGTTTGTGAATTATGTATGAAGACTGTGACAAATTCCAGGTATTTAAAATGTGCCTAGGTAATTTACTTGCTGAAATAAACCAAATCAACAAGAGTACAAGCCAAGACACTTCACAGTAGCTTCACAGTTACTTCTCACAGTAACCAAGACGCAAATCTCTGCACGTATAGGGCAGATGGGTGGGACAGGGGTGCTCAGCAAATTTTTTAAGAATGCCCCAGTAAAATGATTCACATCAGTCTCTATTAGGAACCATGGTGGGCTACTGATGACCACAAAGGGCTTTGTTGAAGGGAAGTAATAAATCACTTGTCCTGCTTCTCCACCCTGCATCATCTTAAGTCTCTCCATGCCTCACCTTCTGGATACCCTGAAGTTTATTAAGCATGGTGTTAAATAAAGTTTCACATCTGGTCTTTGATATTCACATATGGGTTACAAAGTCTAACTTAATAAATGTTTATTTTAGAACACACATGAAGGTAATTTAAGATAAAATGGCAGGATTTATTTCTTAGGTTAGCCTCCTGTGAAATTACATTAGCAGGGCCACATTTATTCCACAACTACCTTGCAATTCTCATTAACGGTACAATTCCAGCATAGAGCAAATAAAATAAAGGGGATGAACCAGGCAAAAACTAGTAGGTCTTAAAAGAAAGGCTCTAGCATTCAGGTCCATACTTTTAATATGGAGACTCTTGGCTTGTAAGCTTTAAATCCTTGATAGCTTCATTCCCACAAGGTCTATATACAGGAATGAATCGAGTATCTTAGAGAAAGGGAGGAAGGGGAGGTAGAAGAAATTACAGAGAGAATACCTTTCTTCTCGTATCCTTCTCACTCGCTCAGCTCGTTCTAGTTTCTTTTGTTCTTCATATGCTTTTTGTTCTGTAGTGTCTCTTTGGATGCGCTCATTTAAGGCATCAAAATCTTTTGCTATGATATGTAGAAGCCAATATAAACCTTTTTTTATTGATTTATCAATTTTTTTCCCACAGCCCATGATAGCTGAGCAAGGTTCCTGTAAATTTAAGGAGGGGAAAATTATTTGCAATGCAGATCACTTTCCTTGACTGAAAACAGGAAATCAGCCAAACAAATACTATTTACCATGAAGCTTGCAAAACCCTGAGAGGTATGGGAAATAAGTTTGCATTTAGGTATTCTATAAATTTAGGTGCTTTTTTTGCCAAGATACAAGTCACATCAGTTCTACCGTATTCTATTATTTCCAATCCCATTTCAAAAAGACTAGAATGCTACACTGAAAAACATGCTTGCATGTCTATCTCTAGACTTATATATACACAGCTATTACATATACACCTGCTATGTATACATGTATATTTACACACTTGTTTCTGGAAACATCCATATCTATGCATCTGTACAGAAATATAATTTATCAAGCTCAAATATGTATGTTCTATTTTGCTGCTGGTTTATAAATAGTCCATATTATATTTATATAGTAAAATAAGAAAGATCAGATGTAGATGTAAGAGAATCAGCTTAGCTTCAGTTCACAAAAGAAATGTTTGACTTGTTCATCAGCACCTGTTGGCTAAATAAAATCCAGTGTGAATTTGTCAGAAAAACTGCGAAACTAATTCAATTTTTTAGACCAGAACAGGTATTGCAGATAGGGGAGAAGCAAATTATTATGCATCTTGATTGGAGTAAAACTTTTGTCATGATATTCTCATCAGCAAGCAAGAGAAACATGATCTAGGCAAATCTGCTGGAAGATGGGTACAAAACCCATTGCCATATTAGTTTTGAATACTTTAGCTTGGATGCCACAATTCAAGGAAGTGGATTGAATGGAAGGAATCAAGAGGAGCACAGTGAGAAAAGTCAGACAAAATTGCTTATGAAGAGACATCTGGTAAGAAAACATTGAAGGAACATGAGTGGTTCTTGAGATAAAAAAAGCTTCAAGGAGATATGATGCCTTCAAAAACATAAAGCATAACTGCAAATAGGAAAAGAATAATTTGCTTTTTATGTTCATTGTCAGATCGACAAGTATAACGGGCTTTAATTGCAACAAGAGAGATATGGCTTGATTCTAGCTTAAATATGAAAAAGGAGTAGATGACCTCTAAAGATCTCTTCAGAACTGTTTTTCAGAATGTTTTGGAGCACTGTATTTAAACCGTTGAATAATAACTGAATAGATGCAGCTATGTATTTTACATGAAGAAATGATACACTGATTGTGTTCAGGATTTGCGTTCATGAATGAAGGAAGATTAAAAAAGACTAACTCTCCAATGTCAATGCCTAAAAAATTCTCTGTTATCTCTTCATTTGATAAGCATTTAAATAGCGCCATAGTCAGATACGGTATGTACAATTTCCAACAGAAAAAAGTAATTCTGACCTGTTATGTCCCCCCAGAGTGCCAAATACTAGTTTTAATACATTCTTAGTTTGTCTAAATTAATGTACAAATATGAGGGTTGTTCACTATCGAACACTACAATACTCTCTAACAGAACCTAATCAGGGAGAAGATGTATAGGCAATAATACCTTGTTTCTCTGTGAAAACTAAGATAAAACAATAGACAGCACTGGGGTGATTTTCTCCTCGGTTTGCACCAAGATTATTGTTGCTGTAGTTCAGTTATAAAATATAGAAATTTAGAAATACAGAATATACAAACATATTAAAGAAGAAAAAGAGGAAGGTCCTTCTCACTTTGGAGGAGACAAACAACTCCTTCCATTTGCTTTAATACTTTGTGGGGAAATTTAAAGACCCAGAAGAAAACTAACTGAAAGATTAAGAACAAACAAAAAGTTTTTGGTCCTTGCCTAATTTTATTTAAAGCCTGTTTCACAATGCCCCTGTTTAAATTCACCCCATGAGTCATTATATTGAAATAATTTGGGACCATGTTTACCTTTAATGAGCCTAGTAAAGAAGCTGCCTATTTGAGTATGTAAGACTTCCAGTTGCTTTCAGCTAAAATGACTTGGAGTATGTGATTTAGTTTCTTTGTTGATTACATCCAAGATATAAATGGAGAAAAGGAACAGCATTTTGCTGGAACATGACATAAACTAAGTAATCCTATAGTATTGGAAAAATACATTAGAATCTTTCAGGTCTTTTAAATTTATAATGCTTTGCAAGAAAATATTTTTGTCACAGGATTCCATTGGAAAAAAGGGTGAACTTGCAATTTTTATTTTTATGATTGCTACATATGCATAGTGTGAAGTCTAATGACTGAAGAAAAGCACTGAGAGTCATGACATAATGAACATAGTTATGCTCTCCTGTAACTCAGCTTTCTAGAGAAAATAATAGCAATGTTAATTACCCTATGAATTTCTCAACTCTCCCTAGGAAATTAAAAGTATTTTTTAAATTTAAATTAAAATCCAAATACCAGCTAGAACGGTTTTGCAAAATTGTCTTCTAATTTTGGCTAGTAAGAGCATAACTCTCATTATATTTTAAAATGTTTCTTATTGCACTTAGAAAAAGATTATAAGAGTAAAGCCCACAAATAGTTAACTAACAAATTGGTTGATTAAAACAAAGGCTTAAAGAAAACTTCAGGGATTACTTTGTATTAGTTATCTGAAATATTGAGCAATATTAAGTAGCTTTCATACAGATTTATGGTTTTGGCTCTCCACCCTCTTTTTTTTTTCATGATTTTTTTTTTTTTTTAAACACAACTGTGAATATTACATCAGAAATGTAGTTATTTTAGGACAAATATTAACTAGCAACTAGCTCTAACAGTGTTCTTTGGTGACTACTGTGCTGGGAATTAGATGTCCTAGGAATTAGATTAAGTTCTTACTGTTTGCCAGATGGTGACTCAGACTAAATGATGGTTTTAGTGATGAATAGAAATGAGACAAACATCATATCCGAACAGTGATCCTTCCTGACTGTCAACATAGGCAAATTCCATTTCTTGCTTCTTTTTAAAAAGGTGGAATACTAAACTAGCTGTCCAATTAAACAAGTTTTAAACTTGTCAGTAACTAATTATTCTTACATGGTTTCAGAATGGACCAGCAGGTACACTTTGAGGATCCCTGTTATAAAGATTTCTTCAACAGATCCAGAAGCAGAATGTCAAGGTGAACAGTAGAATTGCGTGCAGAACAGATATACGTACTGTATCTCTGCTGGGATTGCAAGGTTTTAGTTTCAGTTTTACACTACGCAGCACAACCTCCTACCTTATTGCAGGCTTTACATATACATTAGAAAATGAAGCATCTTAAAATATACTTACAATTTGACATAGACACTTGTGTTCATTGACAAGCTTTTCCAGAGATAAGGACTCGATTACATCTGCTTCTGACAGAGCCCCTTCTCTGTCCTGCTTATTTGCCAGCCTAAAGAAAAGATCAAAATAAACACTTAGCACTGTGACACGAGAGAGATTCTCAGATCTCCAAAATCTAAGTTTTTGAAAAAAGTAGGAGTAAGAAGGAGGAGAAAGTAAAGAGAAAATGCCTTGTTTAAGCTTTAATTCTTAATTGTTCTTTCTACTCAATAAACATGTTAGTCCATGCACTATTTTCAGCAGATACTAACATTAAATGATTACTAAGGTGCTTTGTAATTGTTTAATAATTATCAATAGACAAAGCAATTATATTTTACAGCTAAGAGGATGGATGTAAAAGACCGTACCATTCTACAGCTAAAGCTACACAGCACAATCTGTTAGACTCTACTGATCAAAGTTCAGAACCTTGCAACTTCCCAAACCATGCACATTTCCCCACATAATACTGCTTCATGATCATCTTGAGTCTGCCTACTATCCAGAATTTCTCTCTGATGCCAAACAATTTGATATGTAATGTTTTGAATCTGCTCTTTGGAAGTAAAACTCCAGGCTCAGAAGGAGGAACTTGCATGAACGGCTCTAACAAATGTGTCTTATTATTAAATACAGGGAAGACAAAAAAAAAAGTGCATGAAACACATAGCTTACAACAGTATTTTGTAAGCTGAAGTGCCATCATTGTCTTATTTCTTAGAGATATGGTAGCAAAGAGGACTCTAGAAGATAAACAGCTTGTACTTTGGATTAATGATAATCCTTGCTGGGGAGGAACAATGGTAAGAATTCACTCCATAGTTAGCAGAACTTGTCAGCATTGCAGTTTGATCTAAGACCTTATTCCTTCCTGTTTTCCAGAATCGCAGTATGAGAGCCTCAATTCATAGTTATTTTACTCCCAAGAGTGTTTTTAGCTTCAAAGAGCTGTTAAAAAAAAAGAAGCTGTGTTGCATCTACAGCTCAAAAAAAACCATTCCTTGTCACCATTAACCTCATGCACTATGATTCATTATCTAATCTTTCTTTTCAAGAAGAGTTCATGAAGAAGACTATAGAAAGACAGCTTCTCAAATGTCCATTCTCTCTCAATCTTCATCAGTCTTAACTATTTGTTGTCCAAAAGATTCACTTATTTATCATCACCTTGGGGATAAAACCCCCTACATCCTACTGATAATCAAAACTTTGCTGACTTGCTGCAGAGCTAGAAAGAGCATAAGGCTCTCCTCCCCACCCCTCCTTTGATAATCCTTTCCCACTTCTCAACAGAGTACTTCTACAGTACTTTGTATGATTTAGTGCAGAGATTCCCTAACTGTTGTTCCATGCATATACAGAACCTGAGACATTTTCAATATGCTTATGATACTCTAGCACTATTTCTTCTCACCAACCAGCTAGAACAAGTAATGTCCTCTCAGAATTTAGCTATGAAATAGGGCCAAAGCTAAAACAGTGAAAAACTGAAATAAAATTGAAGAAAGCTATGGAAAGTAATTAAAATATTGGAAACAATTATGTCAAATTTTTTTCCACATATCTTTTCCATATCTTTGTTACAGTCTGAAAATCCTACTGCACTGCCACTTAAGTCTCAAAAAGCATTCCTCAGCAGTGGTGCCAACTCATCTAGATCTAATTGAAGAAAGTATTTCTGAACAAAGAGTTTGGTGCCACAGCCTATTCCTTTCTCACTGGAAGATTAAATAACTGCACTGTTTACTACATTATTAGACTGCACAGCTGAAGCAGAATGAAATGTTGGTAGGGTACATAGCTCATTGTGACTGTGACACTAACTTCCTATAACTTGCAGTAGCTGCTGATTTTTAACCTCTAATACCTTAAAAGGTGTAAGATTTGTCTTTTTGGTCAATTAGCTTCCATTTTCTCCACAGCACTCCTGTTGCAATACTGACTGCCTTCAAAAAAACACAGCTGAGGTGCTGTATCTGGAAAAGCAGCAGATCTAAACAGCTGTCTCCACCTTATGCTCCCCAAGAACTGAAGTAGTTTTCCACAGGTCATACATTACACTTCCTGCTGTACACCCCTGCCTCCTTCAGCCTTTAGGTCAAACTTCCTGTCCTCACTTCGGCCACGTTAATTTTCTTCCCAGTAGGTAGTACAGTGCTGTATTTTGGATTTAGTATGAGAATACTGTTGATAGCAACAACTAAAACATCAGTGTGTTAAGTAGTGCTTATCCTAAATGAAGGATTTGTCAGTTTCCAGTGCTTTGCCAGCGAGCGGGTGCACAAGAAGCTGGGAGAGAGCATGGCCAGGATAGCCGACAGTTATAAACGGAGTTTAAATGTTTTTAAGATACTGTGATAAAGGGTATTATTTTGCTGGCGGATTTTTTTTTCCCTTTCAGGTAAATGCATTAACAGATCCATGACCTACCCTTGCTTCCTTTTCCCTCCATGCTTTAGTGCAGAAAAAAGCAATCCCTGCACTTACACTTGTCCTTCATAGGTAGGCAGTGCTCCACTTCCAGCTTACAAGGCCTCTATCTAGGGAGCTGCTCCTAGACACTTCCTGCTACTGGGCAGCTCCAGCAATGATCCGCCTCTCAGCAAGGCTGGGTTTCAAACAGGCAGAACCAGATTCCCCAAGTAGAAAGTAATCAATTTGCCTGTCTACTGCAGTCGCAAAGTCAGTTTCTTTCTCACACCACTGCTCCTGAAGATGAACCCTTGAACAAGAATATAAGAACTAGAAGCCTAAGGCATGCAGAAAATACTCAGTGGAATGCCACTCAAGACACATTACTTAAGCAAACATTCAAAACAACGTTTTTCAGATTATACTGAAGCTTAACCTCAGGAGCTCCTCCGTAAAAGATAAAACAGAAAGCCACCAGCACAGGATTAAAAGGTAAAGACTTTTCTTTTACTTAATGTTTATAAAGTTGCAAATATCAGGAAAAAGGCGGTGTAGTGTCATTTAGAATGGAAATGTGTCTAACTGTCAAGACATACAAATAATGGATGTCTACCCTGCAAAGAATTGGGTATTTCTCTGGGTGAATATAGTCTCAGAGCTATGCTGCTCATGCACAGGAATGCTGGGGTTTGAGGCAAGTTTTATGCATGAAACTTCCCTCTTTAGGGAATACGTCAGTGTTATCTTAAAGAATAGACCTTGATTTTAATTTTCCAAGTCAGTAGAACTTCATATATAGCAATTTTTCATGTTTAAAAAAACTGTAGGAGGTATATATCAAAACATACTTGAAAGCACAGGAGAGCGTCTGTTGGTTTATCACATTGTTTGCCAAGTAAGAAGCTTTCATATATAAAATCATGCTTGGCTTATTTCAATTTCACATAAAGTATATTTGGAACTTCCTTTGTGTAACAAACTTACTTTACACAAGAAATAAAGAAAAGGTAGGCATAAACTACTTTTATATCAAGTAGAATTTTTTTAAGCAACTAGAGAGCTTTTGAACTTTATTTTAAGAGTCATGGGAAACAATGTGGAAAGGGAGCGTATGTGTGCATTGGCACGACTGACATCTACAGATCAGTAACAATATTTCTCTTCGAAGCCAGAAGACATGCCAGAGAAAAACAAAGTCTGAGTGCAGTGTGTATTCCTGGACCCTTCTAAAATGTAGGTTACTGAACAAAAAGGAAAAAAAACAAACAAAAAACCCCCTCAAAAAACCGGTATTCAAGTTTAGTTTACAATCCAAAAGATTTGGTGGGGGGAAAAAAACCTCACCAGTGTGAAACAGCCACCTTTGCATCTCAGCTTTCATCAAAAATCCAAGAAGTGTTACAGAAAGGGTTTATTTGGGAAGAGGGTACGTGCGCACACGTGTTTGTTTTCTTGTTTTGCAGACTTGAAGGGGCTTTTTAAACACTTTTACTTTCCAACTTGGGCATTTTTCTCCACTTCTGTGGGATTCTCATATGGTAACATAACACTGAAAACAAAATACTGTGGAGGGCACAGACTGGCAGGGTTACTCTGTAAAAGTATGTCAGAGATGATGCTTTTGGTGTTAAGTTTAATCACAGTCTGTTATCACAAACCCAAAATTTTAAGTAAAACCTGCGTGGTAGCCATGAAAATTAATGAAGAGAAAGAATCCCTGAGGTCAAAATGTTACAGTATCAGAACTATCAACATGATTAAAAGCAAATGTACCTTTACGAAAATGATTTATCTAAGGCCAAGATTATTAGTCTTTAAGACTACTTCAAGAAGCCATAGCTTTGAGCGACTGAATTAGCATTCCTGGGAAAACAAAGAAGAGAGAGAACCTTTGAATTTAGCAGCGCTCTACATAAGGGAAAGAACAATGCTGTATTCTTCAGTCTATGGTCAATCTTCTATTTAAAAATGATGTTCTACCTTTTTTTCCTTCAGAAATTTCATCTCTCATCTATTAACTTTTCTTGGGCAACCCTGTGGACAGATTGTGGACAGATGTTTTATCCTAGAGAAGTGAGGCCTCAGCAAATAAATCAAGAAAAGGTTTGTTAGTCTCTTTATGTTTTGCTTATGTTAAAATCCATGAAAGTCAAACTCCTGACCCACAAACAGGCAGAAAAATGTCACTTTGTCAGAGTGCTTTGTTTGCTCCTTCCTCTTCAGTTACTGGCAGTTAATTAGCTTTTCGAGGAAGCCACAAAAAACAAAATTCTTGACATTTTTAACAAACAGACAGAAGAACTAGCCAACAGTTTCAGGCCTCCCATGGAGACCATAAGGCACTCATCTTAATCTTAAGCTCAGAGCCCCCTCTTTCTGCAGACTTTTTGCAGATTGCCTTTAAAAGTTTCTAACGACACTGAAATAATCCAAATTAACAGATCTCAAACTACTTTCTTCTTTAGCACTCTAAGGCCCTGCGTCTTCTGGATTGTTGACATCAATTACAAACCCATCAGTAACTTTTTACTGATTGACACTAGGCTCTTTCTCAAATAAACTGGCTTATTTCATTTCTCTAGTTTGCTTTTCACGCCTTCAATTCTTATGCAAAACAATCGTTTGAATATTAGAATAAGCTATAATGAAAACCTG